TCACAAAATAAAAATAAAAATTAATAAAAACAATTAATTGCACTGCCCCAGATCATTACCAGCAAATCAAAGTAAAAAAGTGAACCTTCTCCTTTCCACTCACATTCTCCCATCTCTTTCATCCTAAATTCCAGGAAAAACAGATGGATTTCCAGTGTATTTGGAAGGTTAACTAATCAAGGGTTTGGCATACCAAAGACCAAATATAAAATAAATTCTATTTTCCTCTGTCAGCTCTCACACCCCTCAAATGGAATTGTGTAGAGGGGTATTTTTCATGCTTTGCTTTAAATAAATCGGTGCTATGTTTACAGGATATATACTTGCATTGCTCTCCCTAAGCCAAAGAGAGTATTTTGCCAACATTGAACTTTTGCACCATACGGCATTTACATGAGCCAGTATAACATTAACCCACATAACATTCAACTGATAGGACAGCAGTTACTTTAGCTAGCATCTCAATAATTAACTTGTTGAACAAGATGACAACATGAATTTCAATTATAAAGTTAGAATTGCATTTTATATTATACAAGAAATTGCCCCTATACTGGATTACACACTACAGGCACACAAACATGAAATGGAAGCAGGCAGAGCAAGAAGTGTTATATATCTAAATTTACCCCAAAAAAGAAGTTCATCCCACTGGCATTTCTTCATCAGGCTTCCTACAGGGTGTTCATGGTACACTGTTCACAACAAATAAAGTAGGCTGTAGACAAAATCAGATCTGGATGGGGACTGGGGAGGGAAAACTATCTGCTCAGTTCTTTGAGGAGTGATTATGGTATGGTATCCTCCTACCTCCTGGCCATTCTTGTTCTGTCTCTAAAACAGCATGAGTGGAGATCAATATGTTACTCCTGGGGACCTCAAATACAGTTGCCCACCTTCCAGCATGGTCCTGGAATCTCCAGGAATTAAAGATTATGTCATGTGATGAAACCCCAAGACTACATTGAATCAAAATTTGCATCCTTAATCTCAAATGGCCTGTAGTGCCTAGGTCTCTTTCTTCTCATGAACAACTGTGCAGTGTAGTAGAGAACTGAGCAAGAAGTTCAACCTTTGTTTCCTGCAGCTTGCACCAGGACAATGCCAGTGAATGCTCTCATGATGCGTAATTTTGCATTAGATCCATATTTTTCTTATTTTGTTTTAGCATAGTATTATGCAGGATAGAAATATGTAGTTTCCTTCTCGTTAATTCTGCTTTCTGCCAACTTTCTTCTGATATAGTTTGATTGTTCTTCATATTTTAGTACACAGGCTTCCTCTCCAATGGCAAAGAATGTTGTAAAGCTAGGACTGTCTCTTGAATGAAGCCCAGAAGGTCATGTAACCACTGGCAATGAATGCACCCATTCAACAGTGAAAAGCTTCATTTTGCCCTAAGCTCTTTTCCATTAGTAAGATCTCCAAGAGGTTGTGTCTAGCTTAGTACTGCAGGTCAAAATGCTGAAACATTTAGCCATTTCAATAGTGGATGCCACTAGCTCCAATTTTTCTCGTTAGCTTTGTATGATGACCTCTTTCTGTGCTGATTCTTAGTGAATTATTTGAACTAATTTAGATTGTCCTTTAATTAAGCCAATAAGAAAGTGAGAAATTAAGTATTCGGGTAAACTGTATTATAGTATCAGTCATCATCCCACCTCTCATTTGAAAAGGTTATCTTGCTATAAAGTGATTTTTAATATTAATATATGTAAAAGAATATGGCCTCATGAAGACTCATGCCAGTATTAATGTTTAATTACTAAAGGCATAATCCTGCAAATCCTCTCATGAGAATAATCCTTCAATTAGATTACTTCAGTGGGCCTGTTCACATAGTAAAAATATGAAGGATTGGATTCTAAATGTTCAATCTTGTTTTTAAAAAAGAGAATTGCTACCATTTTTGAGACAGCTGTTAGTGTGTTTAAAATAGATTTTTTTTACCAAAATGCATAGGTTTTGACTAAACAATTTTAGCATTTAAACTATTGATGAACCAGTTCTTTGTAGTATCCCTAATTTTCCCAGGTGACACACTGTACGATTGGAGTAAATAAAATAAATGATAAACTTGATCATGTACCAAGTTTAGTTTAATGGAACATTCTTTTTTCACTGACCATCAGCATGTTACTTGTCAATATGTTTCCTCAAATAGTGTCTTAGCTGAAATGAACACCTTTTCTTGAGCAACATTCTCTTAAAAGTAAGAAACTCAGATTTTTCTTCCTCCTATTTAAGAAATTTTTCAAGGCAGTTTGATCCTGCTGGCTTGACCTTTCTTAACACAGATCTAGGGAACAACTTCTTTCCCACACTTCCAATCCCACTTCTTTGGAGCAATCATAATGCATGTTTATGTAAAAAAACCCAGTAAGATGACAACATTAACTCACTTTAATGCAATTCCACTATTTGGTTAAGAGCTCCATTTTGTATGTGTTAGTAGTTTTTCTCTGCATGCAGAAGTAGATATTTTTAAGTGAAAACATTTTTCATTTTACACTGCCCTCTGCTCTGATCTCTTCAGGATGATTATTGGTTTGATTTTGTCTTCCTGTTTGCTAACCCATCACCTTAGATCACAGGATGAATTCAGAAAAGAACACACAGAAGCTCTGCAGGATGCAAATTATTGCTGTGGTTGGTGGTTGGTTGTGTGTGTGTGGGGGGGGGG